AGTGTAAGAGCATGGGTTTAGTATTCCCGTCCAGTCTCCATGCGCCACTCAGGTAAACCTGTCTCTGTCTCTGTCTGTCTCTGTCTCTGTCTCTGTCTCTGTCTGTCTCTGTCTCTGTCTCTGTCTCTCTCTCTGTCTCTGTCTCTCTCTGTCTCTGTCTGTCTTTCTGTCTCTGTCTCTCTCTGTCTCAGTCTCTATCTCTGTCTCTATCTCTCTGTCTCTCTGTCTCTCTTTCTCAGTTTTTTGAAACAGGTTTTCAGTGTAACAGTCCTGACTAACCTGGAACTTGCTCTGTAGACCAGGCTGCCCTCTAACTCACAGAGATCTTCCTGTCTCTGTCTCCCAGTTGCTGGAACTAAGGGTGTGAGCCATCACCATCCGGCTTTATACCCTGGTTAATTTCTTCAAACCTCAACCAAGGGCACACAACTGCTATACTCTGTAGGTTGACTGAAGACTTGCATGTAAGATGTCTGCTATTGGCACCTCATCTACCACGCACGCTTAATGGCTGCTCATCCTTCCTTGGTCCTGTTAGCTACAGAAGCTGGCAAGGAGAGGCCAGGGCTTCCATAGGCTCAAAGTGGAGGTCCAGTGGGCTGAGAAGCTGCCTAGCAGCTGGAGCGAGAGCAGAGGACTCAGGGGTGGCAGAGATCAAAGGCTAAATTATGTAGCCTTTGTTCCTCATCGTTTGCACTTGCCTTGGTGCGTCCGGGCAGGAGGGGAGGCAGACTCACACCATAAGCAGTCTAAAGCACACACACACATGCATTTGGGCACCATGCTAGATGCCCACGAGTGCATCCTGCTACACCACAAGCACAAACCCTGGGCATACATGCTTGTTGGCTCGTGTGCATGCATGTCTTAAACACAAACTCATCTTCATGCACAGGCAGAAGATCATATGCACGTGAACAAGTAAGCATACAACAATATAGGTTTTACAAGTACATACGCATGCACGTGTGTGTTCACAACCACAAACCCACATGAACGCGTACACAAATGCTCATCCACATGTGCAAGCACACCCTTTTCAAACCCTCCACTCTAAATAGAAGCATACGCCGCAGCATATGTGCTTTTCTGCCGTTAGGCGACAGGAGGTTTCAGAAAGACAGCCTTGCAAAAGAATGCAGAGAAACTGGCAGGAATCTGCAGAAAGATTAAGGGATAGATGACATTCTGCATGTGTTGGGGGTGGGGGGATACAGGATGCTGCCTTAGGGAGAGAATACAACCCTGAAACCATCAATCGCCCACTAAAATCCACATTTACCAAAGGTTTATACCAGCCCCTCCCCACTATGCTAGTCAGCACCAAATATGCTTCACTTGAAGCAATGAACATCTCCAACAGGTTAGGCCTCATTCTAAACCTTCTACATAACTAGTTTAACCTTCGACAATAAAGCAGATAGTACTTTATTACTACTCTCTCGTCTGGCAAAACCCAGAGTGCCTACCCTCTCTAAAATGATGGGACTCTGAGACTTTGGCTTGACCTTCGGCCTCTGCGTCAGTCTCAGGACTTGGCAGGTGTCACCCCAGACTCCGTGCCGACTGCCTCTCCTCTCTTTGACAGATTCTGCCGCTCTCTGCCTGTCTGTGACCTAGGCTGCACCCCTCTGCACTCACGCACTCACGAAACACTTACTCGTGGTTTGTGCTAGAGAACGTTAAAAGTGGTTAAGAGCCTGAGGATACAGATGGTCAGAGGTGGAGTTCAAGACTGGCCTCGCTGAGAAAGTGCTTTGTCCTTTGGCTCTGCTGAAGTGCAGCTGACAAACTGCTCCTATGAGCGAAAGTGGGCCACACCGGGGGCAGGGAAAGAGAGGGGAGACTATTTTAGGGAGAAGATACCCTCCAGCTCAGGCTCCAGAATAGGAAAAAGCAGCTTTCAAATGAGAAGCTCATTTGTTTTCATTTTTAGATTTTAGATTTACTTGGTTTACTTCATGTGTGTGTGAATGTTCTGCCTGTGTGCATGTATGAATGTTTTCCCTGCACGCATGTGTGTGCACCAAGTGTGTGAATGGTGGATCTCCCAGAACTGGGATGATTGATGGCTCTGAACTACCACATGGGTGCTGGGAAACGAACCCAGGTTTTCTGCAATAACAGTGCTCTTCACACTGGACTATCTCTGCAGCCCTACAAATGAGGGGTTAGAAAGGACAGGCCATTCCCAGGGATAAGCTTAAGGCCAGTCTACCTTGGGCCCAACCTCTAGGCTCAAGGCAGTCTTCTTTCTGCTGGTCCCAGGGATGCAGTCTAGTGAGCCATTCCCAACACACCCAGAGAGCAGGACTCTGTCTCCTAGAAGCTTTCTGCAGCCCATTTCTGGTACAGGCACTTTCTCCATGCTTGGAACCTCTAGCTACTCATGCTCCCCAGGTCCTCACAACTGTAGCTAGCTTGCTCCACACTCACAGCCTCTGGCTAGCCTTTTGGCTGAATGAAGTTTCCCATCTCAAAATTATTATTATTATTTTGGTTTTTTGAGACAGGGTTTCTCTGTATTGTTTTGGAGGCTGTCCTGGAACTTACTCTGTAGACTGGGCTGGCCTCAAACTCTCAGAGATCCACCTGCCTTTGCCTCCTGAGCGCTGGGATTAAAGGCGTGTGCCACCAACGCCCGGCCTCCATCCCAAATTTTTAATTATAATTTCTAGACCAGTTTGACTTAAAACTTTTCAAAGAGATGTGACCAAATGCAAGTATCTACCCATATTTTAAAATTTAACAAGATACTATTCACATTTCCACATTCATAAATACAGTTCTACAGTATTCTTTTAAACAATTCTTTGATGTTGTTTCCTTATTGTTTAAAGCAAGTTTTTTAGTTTATTTCATGTGTGTGTTTTGCCTGCATGCCTGCCTGTGCACCACTGTGTGTCTGGCAGAAGAGGACTCCAGGTCTGTGACACTGGAGTTACAGACAGGTGTGGACCACCATGTGGGTGCCAGAGATTGAACCAGGGTCCTCTGCAAGAGCAGCAAGGCTTTTAGCTGCTGAGCCGCCTCTCGATAGCCCTGCTGCTTTCTTTCTTTCTTTTTTTTTTTTTTTTTTTTTTTTTGGTTTTTGGTTTTTCGAGACAGGGTTTCTCTGTGGCTTTGGAGGCTGTCCTGGAACTTGCTTGGTAGTCCAGGCTGGTCTCGAACTCACAGAGATCCGCCTGCCTCTGCCTCCCGAGTGCTGGGATTAAAGGCGTGCGCCACCAACGCCCTGCTGCTGCTTTCTTTCTAGGCAGGGTCTCGCTGTGTAGCCCTGATGGGCTGGCTCACCGTACAGACCAGGCTGGCGTCAGGTTAGCACTGGATTGTCCTGCCACTGCCTCGCTGGTGCTGCTCCTACAGGCACAGGCTGCCATGCCTTCTTAAACAACTTTGTACTTCTGTATTTAAGAAAAAAAAATGCTGTGACAAGCTCTCCCCGACCATACACCTGTATGCAGTTCCTTAAGATAGCTGAAGAACAGAAACACAGATATTTAAATCAACTTTATTGATAGATTGCATATTTTAAAGGGTGTTGACATCTAGCCAAAGAGCTCTTCAGAAAGACCAAACAGAGTCAGCCTTAAATGTGCAGTCTGCAGTGTTTCTCTCACCGCATTGCTGTCAGGACGCGCTGTTCACTAGCAGATTTCTTCTAAACTTGATAGGCTAAAATAGAACATCCCAGTGTTGCTTTAATTTGCATTTTAATAATTAATGAGTTTGCACTCTGCATGTTCATTAGTCATTTGGATCATTTCAACCTTCATGGATCTCTTTGCCTTTTCAACCACTTTTTTTTTAAAAGTCAGTCTATCTCTATACACCTACTGCAGAGCGTTTAGGTCACACTCTGAGAAAGAATACAGCCACATCAGAGCATGGCAGATTTTGTTTTGATAGGGGAGATAAGAAACAAAGATTACGCCGGGTGTTGGTGGCACACACCTTAAATCTCAGCACTTGGGAGGCAGAGGCAGGTGGATCTCTGTGAGTTCGAGGCCAGCCTGGTCTACCAAGCGAGTTCCAGGGCAGCCTCCAAAACAATACAGAGAAACCCTGTCTTGAAAAACCAAAAAAGAAAAAAGAAAGATAGATAGATAGATTACAGGGCAAACTGGAAACAGAGATTGCAAGTAGAGAAAACCAAACTGAGGTCATGCTTGGTGTACCTCACAGACTGCCTTTACTTACAAAACAGCAGACGGGGGGGGGGCCCCGCATGCCTCTTCATTTGCTCATTTGTTTTCTCTCTTTTCTTTTCTTAGTTGCATGTAGCCCAGGCTAGTCTTGAACTCAATGTATAGCCAAGGATGACATTTAATTCCTCACCCTCCACATCCTAATGGCTGGGGTTGCAGGCATGTGGGACCACACCCAGTTCAGGATGTGGAATGCTTGTCCGGTATGTTGGCAGCCCTCGTCTGGGTTCTCAGAAATCTTCCTGTTACTAAGTTATTTTATAAACTTAATGTTATTATATTATTTATAAGCATGATTTTTGTTGTTTTTGGTTTTTCAAGACAGGGTTTCTCTGTGTGGCCCTGGCTGTCCTGGAACTCACTCTGTAGACCTCAAACTGGCCTTGAACTCAGAGATCCTTCTGCCTCAGCTTCCTGATTGCTGGAATTGAACGCATACACCGCCACTGCCTGGCTATAAACATGATTTTAACATACACACAGATGTACATAGTACATACCTTAATTTTTATTTGATTGTATGTGAGTGTTTTGCCTGCATGTGTGTATGTGAACCATGAACACACTTGGTGCAAATGGTTCAGAGGCGGGTGTCAATCCCCCTGGGACTGGTCTTACAGGTTGTGAGCCAGCGTGTGGGTGCTGATAACCAAACCTGTGTCCTCTGCAAAAGCAGCAAGTGCTCTTAAACCCTAGCCATCTCTCCATCTCCTTTAAGGACACATTCAATAATTGCCGTAATTCAGACATCTAGTTCCCTTCTAATTTCTGTTCTTATTGGTAACAGAGTAATAAGCATCTTCACCATCATTTTTATTATTATCCTAGACATAAATTTCTGGACTGGTACCTAGCAGAGATTAAGAACCTGATAAATATTAGGTTGCACGACCAGGTTGAACTGATACTGACATATCCAATTAAACACGCACACGCTGACACAAAAGCTGTCACTAAATATGTACCCATTAGAACACAAAATTTCTCATCAGAATGTCTCCTAGGAATGGCTGGGTCAGAGCAGTTGGCTAGCTGCTAAGGTGTTTAATAAAGCCCCAGTTAATTAACAAGAGAAAGAATCCTCAGTGGTTTGCCTTACGGTAGAGGACAGCAAGAAATGTGCTGGAGACAGACCCATTCTTCCCTGTAGGTTGCTCAGAACGCTGATAGTCAAAAGACTCAGTGGGCGACCAGCTGCTTCTGACCCAGGTGAGGCTACTGAAGGGCACAGCCAGAAATCCCAGGTGCAGGATCCCCAGCCTTCCACATGCCCCAGAGCTGGGGACACATTGGCATCTTCTCTTTGATGAACAACCGTCTACTTCCAATTAACATTCCGTTGCTTAAGATCCAACACCAGCTAAGCACTGGAGAAAAAGGGTGTGAGAGTGAATTGTCACCACACTGTCCAGGGGAAAGAAGGAGTAGAGGATGCTTTAGCCAGCAATGGAATCCAAGCTGGCGTTAGGAAGCCTGTGGAGGCGCTGCTCTGAGATGAAAATAAAATCCCGCATGACTTCCCGTCTTCAGAACAACACAGAATGCGAAGATGGTTTGGTAGGTAAAGCGTTTGCTGCTCAAGTGTGAGGGCCCGAGTTAGGTGGACCGCCCAAAGCTATTGTCCAACTTCCACATGTGAACTATGTTATGTACCCGTGTGCCCACACTCCCATGAACACACATGTACACCAGTAACAGAATACTGTAGATTGGGGCTGGGGAGACCACTCAGTGGTTGAGCGCAATTGTGTAATCATGAGGACCAAAGTTTGGACACCAGCATTCATGTAATAAGCCTAGTAACTTGCACGCATCTGTAACCCCTGTTCTCAGGGAGGTGAAGACAGGAGGTGGGGCTTGCAAGCTTCCAGCTTAGCTGAGAAAACCAGAGCCCCAGGATCAGGGAGAGATCCTGCCTCAAAGAAATAAGTGGAGAGTGATAAAGGAGGCTGACACTCTTTTAGCCTTTGCACACACATGCACACTCACAAAGACACACACACATAAGTAAATAAATCTTTAAAAACCATATGGATGAATGCACAGACACATGTGTATGCGGATGTGTGCACATGATTGCACACACAGGGTTTATATACATACAAGGGAAGATCAGCTACAAGCATCTACCTCTGGCGAGAGAACTGTGGGGGAGGTGAGGAAGTGATTTTACCTCTTACCATTAGACCTGTGGGTTATCTCAATTTTTATAAATACACACTAATTTTCTACTTAAGGGAGAAAGTAAATCCCTTTATTTATCTGGCTTCCTAACTACCTTTCCTTCACAAAGCTCCCTGACTGCGAACTGTTTTCTTTCCAAATGCATAACATCCATTATGCGGGTTGATTGCCACAACAGACCTGTAAAAGAGCCCCTTGTTATCATTCCCATCTCATGTGTCTGGTTACTCAGGTTCCTGATTTCTGGCCGTCATTAAATTCATAAAGGAAAAAGAACACAACCAATGGTAATAAAATTGCTAGAAAATAGGCAACTCATGTTTTGCTACTAACAGCACAAAGCTGTACAAGCCTTCTGGGGAGCAATTTGACAATTTGTATCAAAATCCTTTAGACTCTGTACACCCTTTATTCTCGTGATACTTTTGCTAGAAATGTATCCCAAGGACATAATTAGGATGTGCACAGAATTTCAACCATTAGGATAATCATTTGGAAGATGCTCATGATACTGAAAAATTAGAAACCGCTTAAATATCCAAGAATAGAAAATTACTTAAATAAATTATGTTCCATTCATATGAGAGTTACTATAAAGTCATTAAATGGTGGCAAAGAAGCTCATTTAATGATGAGGAGCACAGCTCATGATACATCCTAAAAAGTAGGTCACCCACAGTTTGTGTTACAGGAGTCCGTTTCTGCTTTTAAAAAAATGCAAGCAACAGTAGCAGTGTGCATGGAAAACAGGTGAAGCAGGGCTCAGGATGCTCGCCCCGGGGGAGCGAGGCTAAGAAAGGTCTTTTATTCTTCTTCCTTTTCCTAACTGGTCGAGCATCTCCCCTCCACACTAAATTTTCTTCCAATAAAAGTGCGTCTGTTGGAATAAGAAAAAAAAATTGTGTGTCTCAATATACTTAGCATGCCCTGGATTTGTTCTCCAGTAACTACTTCAAAAAGTATGAGAGAGAGAGAGAGAGAGAGAGAGAGAGAGAGAGAGAGAGAGAGAGAGAGAGAGAGAGAGAGAGAATACCCAAGCACCTGCGCTCTCCACAGTCCATGTGTTGAGGTCAGAGGACAAATTTCTAGAGTCAGCTCTCTCCTCCTACCTCTGCCTGGGTTCTGGGGCTCAGTCTCAGTCTCTAGACCTGTACAGCGAGTCTTCACCTATGGAGCCATCTTGCCAACCCTCCCCCCACCCCATATTAATTTTTAAAGCAGATTCATCATTGTCCCCTAGAGCAACTTTTGTGGTCCAGCCTTAGCACTTCCCTCCCTCTCTCCTGACTGAGCCCCCCCCCTTACAACCTACTCTGTCCATTCTGCAAAGCCAGCCCCTCCAAGAAGCCTGCCATGATTTGTATCGACTTTCGGCTCCCTGACTTATGTAGCTCACAGTAAGCTTGCTGCTGGTGGTCATGAGACTCTTGCTTCCAAAGTCTGTTCCTTATGGCATCTCCAAAGTGACTTCTTGGTCTCTGGATCTTTAAATAGATCTGGCTGCTTTCACAGCACGTATTTGAGTGTATGAAACCCTAGTGGCTCTCAGGGCCCCTCCCAGTGGCCTTTATGCAAAGCTCCTCCTGCCTCATGATCTCACCTGTTCATGCTTGGCTGGCTATTCCCTTGGCTCTGTCCCAAGGCTTCTACCTCCCACTGGCTTGTCATGCCCCAACCACTTTGGAGTTTATCTTTTGGTCATATCAATGCTCTGGGTCACAGCCAAGGTTTCTTTCAGGCCTTCAACCTTGTATTAATCAGTCATGCAAAGGCCAAGGCTGATGAAAACCATGTCTCTTGCGTACTACGTAAGACACACGCTAGAGACATAGCATCAACATGCAATCTTTGTAGTCTGTAAAAGTGATCATAACCACAGCGACCCTTTATTGTATCTTCTGTGCCAGCCCACACTGCTCTCCCCTTTGCAGGCACCTCCCTTCCCCAGAGTATTAGAGACAGGCTCCGAGTTAAAGTAAGGTAAGCTGTCCAAGGTTGCAGAGCTAGGGGGGAAGCAGAAGTCTCATTTCACGCCAGCCCTTGTGGGACTGCCGACTTCATGGCTCAGCCACTACCCCCTTCCTCTCTCACAGCCACGTACAGTAGGAGAGATGAAGAGTAAGCTCCATCATCGATAATATGTACAAAGGAGTCAAGACCACGATGGGGAAACCCACAGAATCAGCTGACCCGAGCTAGTGAGAGATCACTGACTCAGGTCTGACAAATGGGGAACCTGCATAAGACCGAACTAGACTCCCTTAATATAGGTGACAGTGGTGTGACTGGAACAGTATATGAGGCCACTGGCAGTGGGTCCAAGATCTAACACTTATGCGCAGACTGACTTAGTGGAGCCCATTCTATATGGAGAGATACTTTGCTCAGCCTAGACATAGGTGTGGAGGGTGGGGCTGTACCTTGGTCCTGCCTCAATGAGATGATGGGACAGATTTAGTGCACTTCCTAGAGGAGGACTTACTCTCTCTGTGGAGCAGATGGAGGATGGGGGGTGTGTGGGGAGCAAGAGAGAAAGGGAACTGGGATTGGAATGTAAAAAATAAATTTAAAAAAGGAGTTAAGTTCTATCAAGATTACATGGTTCAAGGTCATTTCACCTGAATGCAGAGGTATCTGAATTCTTGGCCATGGACACATGTGGTCCATGCAGGAGGAGATGAATAGGAGAGTCATAAGGGGAAAATCTGAGTGAGTGAGGAATGAGCCTCTCCAGGAAGGCAGACCTCCAGGTCTGTAGGAGAAGTACAGACAAAGAAGGATCTTTCCAGGGTCCCCTCTGTGCTAGAAATTCTAGCCACCCACCTGGGACAACAAAGTCATTTCTAGATCATGACCGCCCCTGCCCCTTTGGCCTAACGCTCAAGAGCCCCTGCATCTGCTGAGGTAGGTAGGGGAGGGGCTGGTAAGCAGTGCTACACTGGGCAGAGGGAATGGTACCTCTCCTGCTCCAGAGATACAACAAAAACACCATCTGCCTGAGGCAGCAAGGTAGACCTAGGCCTGGAGTTCTTGACCCAGGATCTGGAGTCGTCTCTAACTTGCCTTGGACTTTGGGTGCAAATCTGCCCTCTTGGTGCTGTCATGGCTCCTCTGGAGACTGTGGAATAAATGGCGCAAGGGAAACTGTTTGGAGAACTAGAGTCAAGAAAAGCTGGTGCGCTGGTTTGAGAACACAGTCTAGGGTTCCTCCAGAAGTTAAACAGCAGCGCTATATAATCCAGCAGCTGCACTCCTAGGTAGACACCCAAGTGAAGCAAAAACATCTGTGCACATGAATGTTTCCAACAGCACTGTTCACAGTAGTTGAAAAGTAGAAATACCCAAATGCCCATCAACTGTCAAAGAGACAAACAAAATGTGATATGTCCAGCCGGGTGTCGGTGGTGCACGCCTTTAATCCCAGCACTCGGGAGGCAGAGGCAGGCGGATCTCTGTGAGTTCAAGGCCAGCCTAGTCTACAAAGCTAGTTCCAAAGCAATCCAGAGAAACCCTGTCTGGAAAAAAAAATGTGGTATGTCCACACAATAAAATATTACTCAGGAAGGATTCAACTGTGCTATGAAAAGGATGAACCTTAGCTGGGCAGTGTTGGCACACACCTTTAATCCCAGCACTCTGGAGGCAGAGGCAGGCAGATCTCTGTGAGTTTGATACCAGTCTGGTCTACAAGAGCTAGTTCTAGGACAGCCAAAGCTACACAGAGAAACCCTGTCTAAAAAAACAAACAAACAAAGAGATGAACCTTGAAAATGCTACTCTGAGAAAACCAGATACAAAAGGTCACAGTCACATTCTGTGATATGAAATATGCATGCAAACCATAGAGACTTCTAGAAAGCAGAGGCTCAGTTGTTTTGAGCTGGGAAGTTGGAGCAGGGCGTGCTGGTGGAGGCCTGTGAGGCGCTTCAGCAGGTAAAGGCATATACTAACAAGCTGGAGGCCTAAGTCTGACCTCTGGTACCCACAAATGGCTATCAAAAGTTGTCCTCCTACTTTCACAGATGAACCCTGCCATGAACTTGTACATACAAACATGCACGCGTGCGCGCGAGACACACACACACACACACACACACACACAGGGTAACCTTACAATTATGCTAAGAGTTGTTTGGGGGGGAATTTGATGAAGAGTTGTGTTCTGCTGTTTCCATGCTGAAGCTAAACCCCCAAGGCCTCACAAATACAAGCCGAGTGCTCTCCCACTGAGCCCCATATTGAATACATAGCCGAGCATGACCTTGAACTCCTGATCTTGCCTCCATCTCTGGAGTGCTGAGATTAGAGGCATGCACCGCCACTTTCCTTCTGTTGCTGGAGCTCGACTCAGGGCCTCATCAATCTAGGGGAGCGGCCTGCCAATTAAGCCAGCCTCGGGATGTTTTTAAAGGAACAGAAGCCTGCGCTTATCTGGTGCTCACTCCTGTGGCTTCCGCTTGCTGTCTCTTGTTGGGTGCCATCTTACTGACTCCTCACAACAGCCTGGACTTGAAAGGCGAGGAAACTGAGGCAGGAGGGTTAATAACATTCCCAGAGTGGTGCCTCTCAGGCGGCACTGTGAACAACCATGAGACACACCTCCTGGTCCTTCCCATCTGACACGGGGCCTCCCTGAGAGCAGCCGTCTGCCATCTCTGGACTCTCAGCCTTGGCTGACAGGTTTGCAGCCCTGTGCCGTCTTCGCCCTCTTGTCTGGCTTGCAATGACATTGACTTTTCACAAAAGCACAGCATCTGCGGCGAAATCTTCAGGCTGCCAGATGCTGCTTCACGCCCTCCCTAAGGCTGCCCAGACGAGAGGCAAGAAGCACCTCAAATCGAGACAAAATGCATTTGTGGTTTTGAAGAAAAGTCATTAGAGACAAGCCGGCTGTCCAAGGCCAAGGTTGCTTCAATTCTGTTTACTTAAAGTATAAAGAAGACAGTCCCCGCTCCAGTGGATGGTTCGGAGCCAGCCTGCAGGAAGGAGAGGGCTTTTGTTGCTTTATTATGTTTTTTTCCCCACTGAGTACCCACTGCTAACCACAGGAGAGAGCAGGAGAGAGACAGAGGGAGACACAGCAAGCATCTTGAGGGAGACACTGGAGTTGGTAGGAGGAGTGAGAGTCGGTCTGGAGGCCAAGCTGGAAAGGAAGGGTGGGGAAGCAGGAGGGGCTTGTGAGAGGGGGCCCCCCAGAGCCTGGAGCTAGCCTAGGAGGAGCCTGGGGCTAGCCTAGGAGGAGCCTGGGGCTAGCCTAGGAGGAGCCCAGCAGCCATGAAGGGCCTTAGCTGGGCTCATAATACAGTAGTGGCTAGGCCAAGACTCCTCCAATAGCCTCTTCCTAGGCCCCTAACTCCAGCCTCACCCCTCCTAATTTTTCTCCACATGAACCCAGTTTCCACTCCTCCAATTCCTCAAAACACTTCCATGGCTCCCAGTGACTAGGGAACAGACAGACACCCAGCAGAGGCCGTCCAGGGTTCCGAAAGGTGAGAATGCCGGATGCTAAGTTGAACTTTCCCATGCAGGAGTTTTGAACCTAGGACCTTGCTCATGCTAGGCAAGCTTTCTCCCACTGAGCTACATTCTCCGGACCAGACACCAACCTTCCCTAAATGAACCCCGCCTCCTTCCTTTTGAAATGCTCTCCTTTTCACAGATATGTGTTGACACTTCCTCAAATAGCACATTCTTTTTAAAAAAATGTATCTATTTTTAATCGACACAATGTTTTTCTTTCTTTCTTTAAGACAGGGTGTTTCTGTGTAGCTCTGGCTGTTCTGGAACTCACTTGTAGAACAGGCTGGCCTCAAACTCAAGAGATCCTCCTGCTATTGTCACCTGAGTGCTGGGATTAAAGATGTGTGCCACCACACCTGGCCACCTCAGACATTTTATCATGTCTTTGTGTTGGGGACCTTGGAAATCCCAGCTACTTATAGTGACACTGAGATGGCCCACTATTCTGTCAGCCATCATTACCCCATAAATGTCACAAGTTCCTACTGCTTGAAGGACTGTTTTCCCCAAGTGTGGAGGCCAGGGACTGGGGTGTAAATCAGTTAGTGGAGTGTATACCTAGCGTGTGTAAGACCTTAGAACATGGAACTCAGTACTGGCCATGGACTGGACACTCAGTAATTGCCAGAAATGCGGAACAAGTAATCAGAAGTGAGCCCATACCAGGGTGCATTCAGGAGGAGCTGTCACCCCACCGGATGTCACTCCACTGAGGGAACAGTACTGTTTGGCATTTGTCACCAGTTCCCCACCTTTGGCTGAGATAAATTCCTGGGCCCAGGTCAGCCTGTCAGACAGCTGCGGCATAAGTCGCAGACACTCCGCATTTCCAGAATCAGCAGAATGGACCAGCAAGGAAGCAACAGAACAGGGGCCCCCAAGTTCATCAGAATGTACACCCTACTCCTCCAGTCTCTTCCTCAGGCTTCTTCACTAGCAGTGAGGTCCCGACACCCTGCATGGCCCAGGGAACATTTTCCCCTGCTAGGCTTCTTCAAACCAGGGAGCTGTCCCCTCCCCACTTCTCCAGAACCCAACTCCCTTACTGTGCACAGGAGCCCCAACTCTCCAGTCTGTTATTCTCCTGAAAGGAGATGGGCCACGCTCTTGTCTGCGTGTTCCACAGCCTCCAGGGTCTCTCTCTGCCTCGCTGTGTCTCTAGCCCGGCAGATACAAGCAGCGGGAGTGGCCGCCCAGTGAACAACTGAACGAATAAGCAAGGACAGTGTCAAGTATTCACTGAGTGTGTGCCAGAACCGGCTGCAACTTCTCTACACTCCACGGCTCTTCCTGCCCCTGTTTTTAATTTTTTTGTTTTTTTAGACAGGGTCTTGCTCTGTAGCCCAGGCTGGCCTGAAACTATCCTTCCTGCCGCAGCCTCTTGTGTGCTAGGATTACAGGTGTGTGTCATAAGGTCTGGTTGGATTATGTTAATCCATGCAGCAAGACAAGTGCTTTGATCATTGTCAAAATATGAAAGATAAATCTGGGCATGATGACACATGTCTATGATTTCAATATCTGAGAGGCAGAGGCAGCAAGATTGATTCACTGTCACGTTTGGTTACATGGTAACTTGGAAGCCAGCCTGTGCTACCCTGTCTGAAAACAACAATAAAGTTCTTTTTGAAAAAACTATGCTGTGTTTTTATTTCTGTGTCTGTGTATGTGTGTACACATGTGCCTTTGGAGGACAGAAGATGTCAAATCTGCTAGAATTGGAGTCGAGACAGTTACAAACTGCCCATCGTGGGTGCTGGGACCTGAGCCTGGGTCCTCTGAAAGATCAGCAAGCAATTTTAACTGCTGAGCCATCTTTGAAGCCTCTTAACTCATTGGCTTGGAGCTCATCAACTAGACTGGGCTGATCAGTGAGTCCCAGGGATCCTCCTGTCTTTGCCTCCCCAACACTGGGATTACAAGTGCATGCTGATTTGCCTAGCTTTAAAAAAAAAGTGTGCATGTGTGCGTGTGTGCGTGTGTGCGTGTGCGTGTGTGTGTGTGTGTGTGTGTGTGTGTGTGTGTGTGTGTGTGTGTACACCATGTGGTTGCATGTGGAGGCCGAGGATGACCTTGTGGAGTTGGTTCTCTCCTCCCACCTGGATGGATGGGGATTCCAGGTTGTGAAGCAAGTGCCTTTATCTGCTGAACAACCTCACTGGCCTGTTCCTAGCTTTTTCTGTGTGTTCTGGGGATGGAACTCAGGCCCATGCTTCAGTTACAAGCATTTGACTGACAGAGGCATCTCTCACCCAGACCCCATCCAGCTTCTAAGCTATTTCTTTCCCACAATCCCACTGTTCTTCACCTTACCCTAAACCCAGTGGCACAGGATGATTCGGGCGGACATTCTACAGAGGATTACAGAGCTGAACTTGGGGTTTGGACTAACCGTGAGAGTCTGGTTGCTGTACCTGCCTGCTCTGCTCTTCCCTTGCTCTCGGTGTAGTCAGGATGGACCTTACCCATCAGACCTCACCGTCCTCCTGGGAAGACAAGTCTTGTTTCATTCTTGGTGCAGTTTATGTGACAAGGACCATTATATACTTGTAGAGGAGGAGAAACTGAGGCCCAGAGGTATTAAGAAACACAGCCAAAACCAGACAGCAAGGCGTTGCTGAGGTAGGATGGGGGCTTGGCTCCCCAGGTGTGAGAGTGCAACAGGCAAGTAAGAGAGGCTGATAGACTAAATCCTGGGGTTCACCGCGCTGGGCTATTCACCTGCCGCATGCTCATCCCGATGCGCTTCCCACTTCCCCCAGCAGAGCAGGCACAGACAGCGGGATCCACAGAGGACGGTCAGACAGCGGACGGTCAGACAGCGGGATCCACAGCGGAAGGTCAGCCCGAGTCACGGTCAGGAGGAGGACACCTTTGCCTCCTGTGGCTACTGGTAGTGGAGCGGGTAAGCCATCATCCCTTCCAGAGCTACACATTGGGGCTCTGCCAACTGCTCCCTGCGGTGTAGGCAAAGATGCATGGTGTCAGCTCAGGCACAGGCGAGAATTTTGTCAGCCTCCGGAGTCCCGACACTGCCATAAAATCGTATTTGCCCTGTGAGTTAAGACACACGTATCCATCCTAACCACCACTCAGTATGGACAAACATTTTGCCAGAAACTCTGGGAAGTTTAAGGGACAATGTTTTCCTAAGCAGAATAAGAGTGATCAGACTTCAGCTGTGGGGTTGGCTCCCAAGGGAACTGGGGCCTCTTTATCCCTGAGGGTACTCACAGATACTCCCCAATGTAGCTGGGTGGGGCTCACACAGCAAATGAAGAAGGTTTTTGAGAAATTGAAGACCTGAGGCTACAATTTTTTTGCCTTTGCTGCTTTTTTTCAAATGTCTTGCTCCGGTGGTATCACATACTTGGCCTGGTCCTGCTGTGGTAAAAGTGTGACAAGCACTGCACCTAAAATCAAAATCATAGGTTTAAGGAGGTTTAACTCAAGCAGTTCGCCATCTATGGGGCTTGCTGGGCTTTAGCAAATTCAGAACATTTTTAAAAATAAACTCTGAATCCATGAACAGCTGTTCTCAATTCCTCCTTTCTCCCAGCCTCTGGCAACCACGGATCTATTTTCTGTCTTCCTGGATTTACCTATTTGGGACACTTTACACAAAGAGGATCATGTAATGTGTGGTTTATAGAACTTCATACTCTGAAGTCCTACCCCAGTGCCTCGGAACATGACCTTCTTTGAAAATAAGGTCCTAGGCGATATGATAATTTAAGATGAGCCTTAATGCAGTATGACTGATGTGCGCACACCAACAGGAAGGCTAGATACAGAGATGGACAAGAACAGCGTGTAAAGGGGAAGCCAAGGAGCACCAGAGATTGACAGCAGCCGAGAGATGCTACAGAAGAAGTCTCAGAGCAAGCAACCTGACCAACAGCTTCCTCTTGGGTTCACAGCTTCTCAAACTGTGGGACAGTGTACTTTTGTACTTTACGCCACCTGGTTGTGGTGCTGCCCCATGGCAGCCTGAGACACTAAAGGACAGGGTTTGTGTCTGTCTTCTTTCACTCAGCATACTGTTTTCAGAGTTTATCCATACTGGAGCATGAGTCAGCATCGTAATTTTTGTGGCTGAGTAATAGTCTACTACGTGGATAAACCACATTCATTTACCCACTTATCAGTTAACCAACTTTTGAGTAGTTTACAGTTTGGGTACTCTTATGAGATAAATACTCCCATGTACATTCATGTAAAAGCTATTATGTGGACATGTTTGCTGAGCTACAAGATGACTAAAATTACCAGATAGAACCTGAAAGAACCGTCCCACTCACCTACATGTTTGCTTTTAAGTTCAGAGATCATTCAACATGCACAGAAGTTCATGTATTCATTCACATACATTATGGCGGTTATTACTCTGGATTGTCAACTCAATGAGATTTAAAATCACCATGGAAACAGACCTCTGGACCTTTTGTGAGGGAGACCCTAGGTCTGGCTGCATCACCCTCGGTCTATGGTCCTGCTCTGAATGAAAAGGAGAAAGCAAGATGAACAGCAGCCTTCATCTCTCTCCTGGCTGCTGAGGTTGCCACATGACCCGATGGCTGCCTGGAGATCTTGCTGCCATGCCCTTTCTGTCATGAAAGACTGTGTGCTGGGTAACTCCCTTCCTTCTCTAAGTTGGTTTTGCCAGAGTAATAAGAAAATAATTAACATACACATGTGATATTGCCATAACAAATACTGCTTTGGGCCTGTTGCTCTCCCGGAATGTGGGAGTTGATCAGAAGTCCTGTGACACTGAGGAAGAAGATGACATTTCAAAAGAATAGAGTAAGTCGGGGTATTGATTTGAATACTATCGAGGAATAAAACCCAACATTTAAAGGGGTACAAAGAGGTCAGAAGAGAGCAAATGTCCCAACCTTGGCCTTCTGAGAGTGCACACGGCTTCTAGATTGCCACATGATTTCTAGAGAGGAATGGGCTTCACCAGCGTGCTCGTGAGTTTGCAAGTTAAGGATGTACAGGTAAGGAAAAGCACACTTGACATCTGTGCCGGGCTTTGCTGGTGTAAGACTCTCAGTGTCTGGGTCCTCTGGAGGGCCTGGAAGCTTACATAAGCAAAACTGTTTAGATCAAGATGAGCACAGGAAGATTCGATTTCACCGTGTCTGCGAGCAAGCAGGATCAGAAGCTATTCTGAGCAGCCACAGAGGAAAAGTGCCAGAAATCATAAATAAAGCAGTCAAACCCGTCCAGTGGCCAGATCAAATGTGACATTCCCAAAGAATGTGTGAACAGCACGTCTTTGAAGCCTCTGATTTTTCAAAAAGAAAAAAAGGGAAGAGGGGGAAAGGCAGAAAACGCCGTAGTGGCAGCGCTGGAACCCACTGGAGCCAAAGCTTGACCCCAGACGATGTGTTCAGGTGGGAAGAATGCCGGTTGGAAAGGCGTGGGTCTCAGCCGCCTACTGAACAAATATTGATTCTGGACACTGTACCTATCGTTTGTACGCGCTGTTCTTTGGCCCCTCGCCCTTCATTTTACGTATCCTCCTATCCGTTCCGTTCTTACTGCTCCCTGGATGTGCTGTGCTCACTGTTGCTCTCCTGGCCATGATGCCAACCTCAGAGGGCGGAAGTCTGCCCCAGCTCACCTCACTTCCCGAGGGCGGAAGTCTGTCCCGCCTCACCTCACTTCCAGAGGGCGGAAGTCTGCCCCAGCTCACCTCACTTCCAGAGGGCGGAAGTCTGTCCCGCCTCACCTCACTTCCAGAGGGCAGAAAGACTTCCTTACCTCCCTACCCTACCTCACCTCACTTCCAGAGGGCGGAAGTCTGTCCCGCCTCACCTCACTTCCAGAGGGCAGAAAGACTTCCTTACCTCCCTACCCTACCTCACCTCACTTCCAGAGGGCGGAAGTCTGCCCCCGCTCACCTCACTTCCAGAGGGCGGAAGTCTGCCCCAGCTCACCTCACTTCCAGAGGGCGGAAAGACTTCCCCTACTTCACCTCACTTCCAGAGGGCAGCCCCACCACCTGGGTCACCTCCTTCAACCCCTTCTCCATTCAATCTCCTCCAATTCTGTTGCCAGAAACTACTTAAATGTTTTTTTTTTTTTTTTTTTTTGCCAGGGGGACCTAGAAGATTCCATATTCTGAGACGTCAGTGAGATTCTTCTGGGTGCTTGAATCACCGAGTGATGAGTTAGAGTCAGGTTTGCTTGAGGAAACCAAAAAAGGGAGGATAGAGGAGGAAGGACGAAGGAAGGGAGGGAACACGGGAGCGTGGGAAGCGTGGAGAGAGCAAGGATGGTGAGGCAGGTCCTTCGCCATCCTTGTTTTAACCTTTCGGTGTCTTCCTTCTCTTGTTGCTGGGATAAAAGCAATTTATGGAAGAGCTCAAGGTGCAATCACTCATCGTGAGGACTCACAGCGGCGGGACCCTGAGGCAGCTGCTCACGTCACACCCGCAACCAGGAGTCAAGAGCCTGAGGAATGCTTGTGCTAGTCACTGTCACATCTGTGTAAAGTCCAGGGTCCCAACGTTTTCTACTTGCTGTGCAAGGACTCTTCCCCCAGACCCATCTCACTCACTCTTGATTCTCTTGTCCTGGTTTCTTTCTCTTCATGCCGACTGGTTTCACTCTTGCAGAGACAGAGCCTCTGCCCCCTGTGAGGCCCCTTCTCAAACCCTGAGAGGAGCTGTGCGCCCCCAGCAGGTTGACATCGTCCCTGTGGGACTTGGCTCTCAGAGGTGTTGCACCTGTGGTGGCTTCTTTACATACCTGGATTCACTGTCCAGGAAGTGGGTCGCATGGGCCAGACAGGCAGTCTCAGTCTAGTATGGGCTGTGGGTGTGGGAGCTCTTAGAATAATCCATCGTCTTCCAATAAGGATGGAGAAGAAACAAATGAAGCTGTGGGGGTGGATTTGCCTTAAAAAGCACAGTGGGCTGCATTGGCACAGAAATCATTAATTATTGAGGGCATTAACAAGATCAACTAGTGTCAGCTAGTGGAAGTTCTGCTTTTCTGGAACATAAGGGCCAAAGGCAGTGGTCACTGAGTGCCATGGTATTAGATCCCAAAATTCACAGTGCGGGTGTGGTTTGAACACTCAGCCTTCCTCTGCTCTCTCCCGGGGTTGGGCCTTGCTTCTTCTGGATCCCTCTGAACCTCTTCCTTGCTCTCATCAGAGCTGCTGTGGGCACTCAGGACCTCTCCCCCACCCCATGCCCCCACACACAAAAAGCTCAGACCAGATCACCTTTAGGTTTCCAAAGGTCTCTCATTGGCCTGGAGCTCACCTGTCCTGGCTGACCAGCAAACTCCAGGGGTCCTTCTGACTCTGCTTCCCCAGCGTGGGAACCACATTAGTGCCTCTCCATTTGGCATTGTGTGTTCTTGGGCGTGTGAGTACATGTGAGTCTGAATGCATGTATGTGTGTGTGCTTACAGAGGCTGATGGTCTGTCTTCTCCTGTCACTTTGCACGCAATCTGCTGAGGCAGAGTCTCTCTCTGGACTGAACTTGCCACTTTGGCTAGATGAATCGGCCAGCTCACCCTTGTGACCGTTTCTGCCTCCAGAGTGATATGCTTGCAGGTGAGCTGCCCCCCTCCCTAGCTTTTGTTTTTAAGCCCACGGACATCTTTATTGGGGTTTTGAGGACAAGCAAGCTATAAATCCTGGCGTGTGCCCGGAGAAGGGAGATGGAGAAGAGAGAGAAAGAAAGCCATGCCTTTTGCAGTGGAGCTTGGCAAGGGGTCGGGTGGCAGAATGAGACGGAGACGTCAGAGAATAATGGAAAGCGTGTTTAGTGGTGCCAAGTCATAGTTCTGAGTTCAGATGGCACCTAATCCCAGGCTCCTGTGTCCCAGTGTAAATGCCTGTATCAGGGACGTATGGTCAGGAACAGACATGGAGACAGCTTATTGAGAAAAACACTCGAAGGGTAGGAGTGGGTTACTGAGCAGAAGAAAGAGCCCCCTTCAAGTCCCAGTCAGCGTTTGCGTGAGTGACAAGAATCAGTGTTCCAGTTCTTACACCATCAGCAAGAGTTTTATCCAATGAACAATATTCCCAGCCCATGCATGGCATTTTCATGTGGGTTCTAAGGATAGAACTTGGGACCTCGTGCCTTCAAGGGGAGCACTCTACCCACTGAGTCATCCTCCCAGCCCTTGACCTGGGTTTCTGTTGACTATTATGAAATCCTTACCACAAGGTTCATTGTCTTCATCTTTTAAAAAAGATGTTGTGGAGCTGAGCATGATGGTGTGTGCCTTTAATCCCTGTATGTGGAAGGCAAAGGCAGGCAAATCTCTGAATTCAAAGCCAGCCTGGTCTATAGAGCTAGTTCCAGGACAGTCAGGGATACACAGAAAAACTCTGCCCCCCAAAATGAAACAGAACAAATAAATAAACTTGTTGTGTGTATATAGTATAGGGACACACATGTGAAGGTCTGAGGACAGCCTTGGGTGTTAGTCTTTATATTCTACCTTATTTGAGACACCATCTTGGTGGTTTGAATAAGAATGGGCCCATAGATTCATATATGTGAATGCTTTGTCACCAAGGAGTAGAACTATTTGAAAGGATTAGAAGGACTAGCTGGTGTGGCCTTATTGGAGGAAGCATATCACTGGGGTGAGCTTTGAGATTTCAAAAGCCCAAGCCAGGCTCAGTCTCTCTCTCTCTCTCTCTCTCTCCCTCCCTCCCTCTCTCTCTCTCTCTCTCTCTCTCTCTCTCTCTCTCTCTCTCTCTCTCTGCTTGCAAACAGGGATGCAGCTCTCAGTTGCTTCTCCAGTGCGTACATGCTTCTACGCTCCCTACCGTGGTGATATTGGGCTACGCCTCTGACATTGTAAGCCAGCCCTCAGTTAAATGCTTTCTTGTATAAGAGTTGCCTTGGTCATGGTGTCTCTTCACAGCAACAGAACAGTGACTAAGACCCTGTCCTTTGTTGCCTGCTGCTGTGTACGCCAGGCTATCCGGCTCATGACCTCCCGAGGACTGTCCGGTCTCTGTCTCCCGTCTCAACACGGGAGCACCAGGACTGCAGACGTGTTCCACCATGTTGAGTTACACACACAGTCTCTAGGTATCCAGACTGAGGTCATCATGCTTGTTGGGAATCCCTTTATCCTCTCAGCTGTCCTTCTAACCCCACTATCTTTAAGTCTGCCATCCCAGCTTGCAGATAAGGTTCAGAGAGATTACATAACTCTCCCCCGATGACACAGCTGGTAAGCCGCAGGGTCAGGCTCACAGGATTAGCACATCTGGGCAAAGCCCTGGAGAATTTGTGTCTCAAGGCAGAGGGGTGCAAAGAGGAAGATGAAGGAAGGAGGCTGGGAGACCCATGGTGCCCGTGAGATAAAGGGGCCTGTGCAAACCTCCCGGGGGGTTGTCAAAGGAACCTTTTCAAACAGGATAGTCCAAGGCTCCTTTGAAGTTGTGTGAATTTATCTCTTAAATGCATCCCTATGGCTTGTCTAAGTCTCCCTCTGCTGCCTCATGCACAAATAAATACCTTCCACTGCAGATCTGGGGGCAGACAGAAGTGCTGACTGAGTTCCAGGTCTCAGTCAGAGCTGGGGAGAAGGAAACATCAGGCCCAGGTCAGCCGCCAGCCCAGATACTAAATGAATTTAACAGCTCCCATGCAAAGGGAGGAGGAGTATAAGAACACAAGCCATTCCAGAATCTCCAAAATACCCAAGAGAGCCTTCCACAGTGGATGAAAGGCAGATTTGAACAGATGTATTTGAATTGATCAGGGGAGGAGGGTCCGACTGATGAATGTGGGGACCCCCCCTTACACACACATACAAACCAAGAGTCCTTACTTCTTTGAGTCCCTCCAACTCCACCTGGGGCTGGGATCTGAGAACAGAGACTATGGGGCGGGTTAATGACATTTGTAAGGAAAAGGTTTGGGAAGAGGGGCTTGGAACCCACGGACCCAGAACATAAAGCCTCCTGTCACACCTGGGTGTGAGAACAGTCAGAAGAACTCCGGGGTCTGGATGTGGCGCCCTTTGATCATGGGTGGGAAGGGGCCCAGGGCTTGCCTGGCTCCATCTGCAGACAGGCCTCCGCTCCTCTAAGAGGAGAGGGCAGGGAGCCAGGAAGGACTTGGCACAGGACTAGGAAGAAGGAAGGCCAGCAGCCTGGCAAACTGATGAGGGAAGGGCCGGAGCGGGAGAGCAGCTCAGGCCTGGAGAATGGCTCAGGCTGTGCCTAGCGGCCACCAAGGCCAGCAGGAGGGGATAAAGGAAACAGGGAGGTAAGCTTGGTCTGCTGCCCACCTCGGCAGCCTCAGAGTTCCCCACAGCAGCAGTCAGCTGCCAGAGAAGGGCTGGCCCGGAGCAGGCCTGGGTCTCCTCCGCCAGTCCCCACTCTCCCTCCTTTCCTCAGCCCAGCCTCTCCGAGACTCGCGTTCCTGCGACATCTTTTCTCCGTACTCCGCGTCCGCAGTCCGCCAGATCTCTCTGCAGAGTCCCGCACCGGGAGTCCTCTGCAGTGTCTCCCATTCAGAGGACTCCTGTACTCCTTTCTGCAGCCCTGATGCGGAGGGGTACAGAGAGCAGTTCTGGGCGGCTGCCCTTCTCCCCACGCACCCCTCCAGGAAGGGGCGGTCGTCAGAGCTTGCAGACATGTTCCCCAGGAACCCTCAGGCTCGTGACCATGAACCGCTGGCGCCCAGGCTCTGCCTCCTTTACCCACATGGACTCGATTCTGCTCTGCCTCCTCACTGGGCTGGGAGGTGACGGTCTCCCTGCCCCCTCCAGCAGAACAGCAATGCTTCCGGTCCACACCTAGTGATGGGTTCTAAGAGTGAGGTTTGATCTTGGAAGGAGAGGCCTCCTCAAGGCTCACAACATCCAGAGGGCCTGGTATGGAGCTGCGGCCCCGAGCCAACCAACATCATGGTGACTCACGCTGCCCGTGGGTCTTACGCCTGTAGCTATTGACTCTCTAGACCTTGTAGGTGAGGTCTAGGCGAGGCAGTGCCACAACGTTCCTCACACCACACCTTGAGCCTCTGTCCATCCTGTTTCTAGCAGTCACCTCCCTGCCAGTCCTATCCTGCTCTGGGTTTCTGTGGTAAACAGTTATGGAATGGCTCCCCACGTGTCTGAGCTTTCATTTTCTTATAGCAGTCATCAAGTGGGCTCTGTCACGTCTCCTAGGACCCCTGATGATACTTTTGTCCACTGTAAGACTCTCGGACACTTGTGATTATAATGGCAATCATTTTGCTAAAGGTTTGGTTGTGTTAAGCTGTGTGTATGACATCACTCACACACTCACACGCACACGCACATACACACACACATACCTACCTACCCTGTGGGATCACATGGAAACCCCTTTCCCTTCTGACACCTGCTCTGGCTCCCAGGCTTTAAGCTGGGCTGTGGCAGGCTCAATGGAGAACATAAGCAGAAGCTTCCACGGGTCCTGGCCAAGGATTGGATTCTCAGCCCTCCTCAGGTCACTGGGGTTCCTTCCTTCCAATTAATCCTCAGCTGGCCCCTCGGCCACTCTCTCTAAGAGAGAGGGCACGCAAGCCTGAAGCTTCCCCTCTAAAGGCCGTTTCCAACCTCTGTGCCTCCTAAGAGCCAGGACCCAAGCGGCTGTCACCAGGGTGCCTCACCATGACCCCCTTCTGGGGACTCTGGGGCAGATGACAGCTCACAGGTGAGTAGAATTTTCCAGTCTCTTAGCCTTCTGGTCAACCCCACTAAACCAGCTTGACCTATCTTCCCCTGTGGGCAGTCTCTGTGGTGGGTCCCCAGGCTGAAGGCTCCTGTCAAGATATCCAACTGAATGATGCCTGCCTAGCCTAAGACATCTTTCCAGAGCCTGGCTGAGAAATTCAGAAACTGGGCTGGGTTAGTAGCCCACTCAAAGGTCACTCCTCTCAAATTTCAGGCTCCTAGAGGCGGGGGAAATCACTCCGTTGATAAAGTGTGTACCACACAAATTGGGAACCTAAGTTTGATCCCTGGATCCGAGTAAGAAGCTGGGAATGGTGACGTGCTTGTAATTCCAGCACTGGGGAGGCAGAGACGGGAGGATCCCTGGGGCTTGCTTGGCAGTCAGCCCAGCCTAACCACCCACACCAAAAACATCTTTTTGAAAATTTCCAGGCTTCTAACCACATTGGGGGATGCGGCCTCAGGCTTGTTCTCTCCTGAGTCTGATCCTAGGCCTCAGTTGGTAATATTTGCCAGTCTTGAATCCCAGAGCACTGTACTGAGTGCTGTGAGCTTGAATCAGGGCTACGTGGTAATGGGGATGCTGGGATCAATTAGTAATGCCTGGTACAGACACAGGCGTGGCAAAGCTGCAAGGCTTTCCTTCCCTGCTCTTTGTTGGTTCAGGACATCCATGTTGCCGGCAGTGCTCTCCTCCCTGTCAATCAGGAGTGGAACACTGAAACCTGTGATGTAGGCTATTGTCACCACAAGCGCCACAGTCTTCCCTAAACTTGCTGTCGGATTGGCCACGACTCCCCCTGCCATCAAGCTGTCAATACTGGACGTGTTCCCCTCCTTCTGTTGAGTCTGAATGACCATGACTATGTTTGCCTGGCCTTGCTCTGTGCTGTTGGCAGAATTAATAACTCACAATTAGTAGTAGTACCCTTTCGCATTCATTCAGACATGTCTTGGTTCGCACCGTGAATCGTACACGCTTCACCTATAAATTCAGTAAGGACTCGCTTTGTCGTGACGACCTTGGGTCACGCTTAGCCATCTCGCAGGCGCCCATTCCCGTATCTGGACGCACAGGGATTGCTAGGGTGGAATGGATTCAAGCTGTTAGGAGGACAGAGAGCAGACAGGAGGGTGAGGGAGGGTGGAGTGTGGGTCCCTGTGTGTTCAGAGGAAGAATAACCAGAGCAGAGAAGGGACCCGGCTTTCGGTGCTGCAGCTCAGGTCTGCGGGGGAGGAACTGGGACAGAGACAACCGTAGGGGAGGCCCTCAGTAAGAAGGCTCAGGTCCAGCCTGCCCACCTGTTGGCTTTGGAAACTAAAGCTTACAAATACAACAACAGAGAGTAAAGTGGGCATTGAGGGGCCAGGGGAGGCCCAGGCTCAGCTGTTCCCAACCCTACACAATCCCCTTCCAGGCTCAGAAGGGGCCTTCCTCAGGACCTCCTCTTCCAAAGAGTGTGACCCTTCTAGAAGGTCTTCTCTGTCACCCACCCCATCCTTCATCCTGGCCCCTCCTGCTATATTGTCTCTAGTCTCTTCTCCACAGCCCTGCTCCTACATGGCATCTACCTAATGTTCACCCACCTCCATCCTACGACTCTAAAACAAAAGTTGACAGAAGGGACTTGAAGTCACATTGTTTACACAGGATGTGTGACCTTGGGCACATTTTCCTGCCTTTCAGGAAGTCATCTGTAAAAACTGCCCTTGACTGAATGACTGAGATGCCACCAGCAGCCACCTTGCTGAGTGTTAGCAGGGTATTATATGAGGAGGCATGTGGGGGCTAGAATTGCCCCCAACTCACCATCATGTCTATTATTTGTTCCAGAAAAGACCTAGAGCCACGAGATGGCCTGCGCCTTCAAAGCTTTGTTCCTAAGGGTCTGGCGTGTCTGTGGAGTGCCTCTCCTGCCCACGTGGTCCTGTGCCTCTTAGCCTCCCGCAGTGACAAGAAAAGCTGTGTCCATTGGAATGGAAATGAGACTCGCTTCAGGGCACTCCAGTGGTCAGTGCTACTCTTGGGACTCAGTCCCTGGCTTGGGAAGGCCTGGAGGGATTCGAGAACCATGTGTGAACTGAATTCTGGGTGTGGGTGTAGGGGTAGGATTGGGACCCTAGATTATCCAGGGAGGTGCTCTGGGTGCTGCCCATGCCTCTGAGAGGAGGACAATGTAGTCACGTATTAGTTAAACCATCTATGCTCCCCATGCAATCCCTGGGAGCCTGAATAATTGACAGTGTGGTCAGCAGCTGACCACTGATTTCCAAGGGTGGTGTGAATCAATCCGGTCAACATTTACTTCCCAGTCCCAGGAGGTCCAGAGGTCAAGGGTAAGAAGCAGTGATCCCTCTTAGGTCTTAATCACACAGTGACCCCTGAGAGTCAGAGGGGTGGTTCATTTCTGCTATGCCCAAGAATATCTGCAGGTTTTTTTGTTTGTTTTTTAAGTAGGATCTCATGTAGCCTAAGCTGGCCTCTAATTCACTATGCAGTCAATAAATGGTTTTGAACCTTTGATCTTCTTGTCTCTATCTACCGAGTGGTGGGATTGTAGGCAAGTACAGCAAGCTTTAGGCAGTGCTGAGAATCAAACCCAGGCCTTCTCTTATGCTAGACAAGCACCTCACCAAGTGAGCTCAATTCCCAGCCCCTCCTTGTGCCCATGGGGAAGCTGGACTCAGTCCCTCATGGGGTACTGCACTAAGTCAACATTATAAGGTGTTCACAACTGGGCGGTGGTGGTGTGTGCCTTCAATCCCAGCACTCAGGAGGCATAGGCAGGCGGAGTTCTGTGAGTTCAAGACCATCCTGATCTACAGAATGAGTTCCAGGACAGGCTCCAAAGCTACAGAGAAACCCTGTCTCGAAAAGGCAAAAAAAAAAAAAAAAAAAAAAAAAAGATGTCCACAGTGGGCTGTGGGAAGAAAAGTCTGACTTAAGGGTGTCTCTGGGACTGAGGTGTCCATGGATATCTCTGAGAAAGTTCAACAGCCCAACAATTGAGTCGGGAGTTATAGAAAGCTGAGGGGCAGCCCCATGAGTGCAGTTAGGGACTGCTGCTGAGTGTGAGGGAGAACCTGATTTCCTTCCTGAGAGGCCTCTCAAGATGGGGATGTGACGCGGACAACAGGGTTCCACTTAGGGACTTCCACAATGGAACCCTGCACGTGGCCGTAGCCATGACCTGGGGGCCCTGGCTTTGACTGCTGGACCAGTGTGTCAGGTGAGACGCTATTAGCCTAGTTCTTCCGGACTTTTCCCGTCTCACTCTGGCTTCCTTCCCACAGTGGGCCTACAGAAGCACCCACCGCAAGGCAGTGGCTGGCACTCCAGCAGTCACTCTCTCCTCTGTGCCTGTGTGGTCTCATGGTTTGCCCGTGTCTGTGCAGTCCTTTATTCCCAGATGCCAGCTGCACCCGCCTTGCACCCATCTCTGCGCCATCCCTGGCAGATTTGGGCTGGCAGGGAGACAGACAGAGGAGCCACGAGTGAGCATGTTATCTGAGGACAGGTCCACAGCTGGACCGTACAGGCAGCCCCTCTTCACTTAGATTAGCTTCTTCTGCCTTGTGGGAGACCAGAGTGTTCAGCAGAGACAGCACCTGCTCTGTGTGGCTTAGGGAGCGGTGACCTTAATTAGGCAGTTGGAGGAAGAGGGCCTGGACAGGAGTTGAGGGGAGCTGGTGTCTAGAGGAATGGAGAGAGGGGATGGGTTTATTCTCACTTCAACAGGTGCCCTGGGAAGCAAGAAATGTATACTGTCAGGGAAGGAATCCTGGCCCGCAGCCTGGAGGCCACAGTCCAAGGTGATGCTTACCTTTCTGGCAACCCAGACCCCTGTGGCATCAAGTGAAGCCTACAGATCCTTTCTCAGAACCACGCCTTTTAAATGCATGAAATCAAACGCATGGGATAGCAGAGAACAGCAGTTACATTGATTCTGTCCATGGTCCCCTTGACCTTGCATGTTGGAAGAATTTAAAAAGATAGGAAGGATATTTAGAATCTCCCACAGGACGGGGACGGGGACCTCGTAATGAGATAGACCCATGGGGGCCTCAAGCTGGTGGAAAAGAGTTTCTGGTGAGAACCACTTGAGACCCAAGGGGTGACAAGGTCCAAAGTTGGCTTCTGCAGGGGCTTGCTGCCTGTGAGGCCTGGCTCCAGTGTCCCTGAAGGAGCCCTTTGGAAGAGAACCAGGTGGCACCTGACAAGGAAACTGGAGAAACAGGCTTGACAGGGACCCAAAGCACTAAGCCTGCCAAGGTGCCTGTGGGAGGCCAGTGCCTGGCAGCTGGTCCCTGAGGCCCCTGCTGGCACTTACAGCCACAAAGATGACACTCACTCACTCCACCGCTGTAACAGACTTTAAAGGTCTGAGGGACCCTTGGTCCCGTTGTCACTTAAGATTCAAGCCCTGGAGGATGAATCCACTCATTCTGGAAGTCCTCTAGTCCTTAAATCTAACGCCAGTCAACTGGGGTGGTAATTTTGTACCAGCTGATCATGTGTATACACACATGTGCCTCAGTGTGTGTGTGTGTGTGTGTGCACAGAACTGAATTCAGTCATTTATCTCTCCCATGCCATTCTGCTGGGACCTGAAGCCTACAGTTGCATCTATCAACGTGTACTTCTGGTGAAGTATGGGATAAGAGGTTTTTCTAACCTCCATCTAGTGACACTGGTTCCCTGGGCTTGCCACAGCCGCTACCCCATCTCCCCACCCTACTGTGTCAACTTTGCCCTGCCACCTTGAGATCAAACTCTAAGCCTCTAAGATCTTCTCCTGGGACCTCAGCTAGGTTCACTTTGAGTATGGTTGGCAGACGGAACATGGGCAACGGTGGCCTGGGCCACTTTTAGGCTCCTACCACCCCTACCATCACGCAGTCCTCCAGATTCCTCTCTGGCCTGCACAGCTCTGTGGCTCTCGGGAGGCAGGACCACAGAAAGCGAGTCTGTGTCCACCAAACGTGCTGGGTCACTCTCCGGGAAGGAAGGAAGCAAGGAAGGAAGGAAAGCAACTAATCAACAGTGTGTTCCATACAGAACACCCCCCAACTACTCTCAGTCTCCTTAGCTACACGAAGAAGCTAGGTGGGGTGACGAGCAGAGCCTCCTGTACCTAGGGGAACTGAACACAAAGTGATATTGTACAAACATGCGTGAGCTGTACTCTAGAGGCTGTCTACAAGGGAAGGTCTTTCTGGTACTGTTTTGCACAAACACCCAAACAAGGATGGTGGCCAGATCCTTGCATCTACCTACCTACCTATCTACCTATCTACCTATCTACCTATCTACCTATCTACCTATCTATCTATCTATCTATCTATCTATCTATCTATCTATCTATCTATCTATCTATTTTGGTTACTCGAGACAGGGTTTCTCTGTGGCTTTGGAGGCCATCCTGGAACTTGCTCTTGTAGACCAGGCTGGTCTTGAACTCACAGAGATCCACCCACCTGAGTGCTGGGATTAAAGGCGTGCGCCACCACCGCCCGGCGATCCTTGCTTTTGATGGTTATCTGTGGAATAAATATATATGCTACAAAACAATAAAGTGTGCTGGCCAAATCCACTGGAAAAAAAAAAGTATGCTTGCTTCTATGAGTTTTACAGCTTCCTGGATACCAAAAGTTGGGCATCCGGAGCCCATGCTCTGGGAAGTTGCTGTGCAGCACTCTCCTGCCCTGTAGGCACAGCAGAGGCGGAGGACTTGGCATTTGGTCCTTTGCAACCAGAGGCAGTCCTGTCAGTAGCTTCCAGCTCAGCTGGGGCTGGTACGGGGGAGAGCCCATGGGGAAGGGGAAAGCAGGGAAACCACGTGCAATGCTGCTCCCCAGCCTTCCAGGACAGTTTCTCTTCTCATTCTAGAGACAGAATTGACACTGGGGAGACTATAGGGACAGGATGTGGCTTGGCCAGTCGTGGCACTGGGGTTACAAAGCTGTTCTGACTATTTTGCAGTTGTGAACACTTTAAAACCTCACAATAACCTTGGGGAGGCTCCCGTTTTACAGAGAAGGTAGAAAATGTGTTCAGTACGGCACACCACAAGGTGCCTTGGTGTTTTCCATCAGTGCTTTGAACCCAGAGATGCTTCTCTAGGCTGAGAGGAGGGGGTTTTTAGCCCCACTAATTATTTTAGTTGGCATACAAAACAACGAGCTTCCCGATGACATTTTCCCACATGTGCGTTACTGTATTTTGCTCATATTCACTGCTGTAATTGCCACACAACACGCTGGCTGGTCTCCCACCACAGACTGTTACCCAGGCCCAAATGATTGAAAACCACGCTCCTTAATCAGCAAGGGCCTGTGACTACTGCTCCCTGCTGTGTGGTGATAGGCAAGTCACCTCCCCACTCTGAGCCTCCTTGACTTCAGGAGGACAGTTCTGGACAGCAATATTGAGACAAAGCCGGGCAGGAGAGAAAAGCCCGGTAAGTGCCAGCAACTGTTTGACTTGATCTTGTTTACCCCACCCAGGCCCTGCTACAGTGCTTGGCAGAGAGACCTTTGCAGGAGCTAAGAGAGTTCTTCACCAATACGCCCCAGCTTCTCCAGGCCTTGCCCAAGTCTTCAGCTCCTCTAATTACTTATTTAAAGACTATCGATCCTCGGGCCCCTGCTGGGAGGACTGGCGGAATCGCATGTCTCCTAAATAGCAAGAGAGCCAAGGCCTAGCGACTGGAGCTGCAGCCTGACATAACCAGGCAGGGGGTTATTTTCGCCCGGGATGCTTGTGAAATATTCATGTGCCGATTTAAATACCGACGATGTCAGAGCCGGAAAGGGCCAGTGAACCGCATCAGCAAAGCCTGCCCTTGTCCGTGCGGGTGATGAGGGTGCAGCTGAGACCATGGGGCGGGGTGGGGGGAAGGGGGGGGGAAGCAGGTGCAGGCACAAGACCACAGACTCAGACACAATTGTGGAACCTGGAGAGGGCTCCTGAGGGGCTTTCTGGGCCTTGTAAGAACAGCCAGGATCTGGGAGGCTGACGAGAGGTGGCCCCACACCGCACACAGTAGACCTGCAAAACCGAACTGCTTGAGAGTCAGCGTGTCTGTCTCATCCTGAGTTTCGTTTCTAGAAGTTCCACAGGCCGGGAAAGTTAGACGAGGTGACAGGTGAGCTGAGCCAATGGCTGACCAAGGTTATGTGTGTTTTCTGTTTGTTTCGGTTTTGCTTTTGAGCTTGGTCTCATGTAACCCAAGCTGCTTTCAAACTCAGCAAGCAGTCAAAAATGACCTTGAACTTTTGACCTTCCTGCCTCCACCTCCCACGAGCTGGGATTGCAAACCTATGCCACCAGGCTCCATGGTGAGTTTATGCAATGCAGGGATTCGGACAGGGCTTCCTGCATGTCACCCAAGCACCAGCTGAACTACACCACCAGCCAGCTGGCGTGTGTTAACCTCTACCTAGGGCAGACGGCTTAAGCAGACAAAGGCACCCATGGTGAAAGGGGCCATTACCTGAGGCCAGAGGCGTGCTTGGCAGACG